ATTGTACCATAAAAATCCTCTAAGTAAAATTGTATCTTAAGATACATGATGGAATCAGATTTTATTGCTCTTGATAAAGGTGGAGAGATAGTCAAGAGGCTTTGAAATTGCTTAGAGGATATTTTATGTTGGCCAAAATCAGTGCCAATAATTTATGTTCATTGCGACAATCAGTCTTAAGTTGAAAGCAATATATAATGCTCAATTTAGACATATACATCATAGATATAATATCATTAAATACTTGTTTTCAAATGAAATTATTTTTGTTGACTATGGAAATTCAAAGTAAAATATTGCAAATCCACTACCAAAGATTTATTAATAGATCTTATGTATAATTCATAGAAGGGAATATGTTTAAAAACTTTAAAGATAAAGGAGTGTAATGATGGTGACCACAACTAGTTGATTAGAGATCCTAAAATCCATACTCAAATTGAAAACTACGTCATATGATATTTTTTGTAGTATTAAAAATTTATTATTTCCTATTTATTCCTATGATGAAATAGGTGCTAGCTGTAGTATGATAAAATGGTGAGTTATGCTCTTATTTATTTTTATATATTGGTATACCAAGTAAAGAATAAATGAATACTCTTAATAAAAAATCACCTATGTAAGTGAGCAATGTGGTCATTTCTTTGAGAATTTTGATAAAGGCAGATTTCAATAAAAACATCCATAAATCCAGGATTTGTTTAGGGCCAAAATAAATATAATAATGAGAACTGAAGTAAATATCTAGGTAGAAAATTATGTGAATATTATTATCTTGGTTTACAAAAAAGTTTGAATAGTTTAAGACATCGTGTTCCCTATTTAATCGAGTAAATTTGATAGTTTTTCACTAAGAAATGTTCAAAGTTAAAAGATACATGTTTTGATGTAGTGATCCACTAAATTAGTATCTCTCTATAAATTTTCAAGTCTTTTATACTAGCCGAACAATTTTCATTTATATGGAGAATTGTTGAAATTTGTTTTAATAAAATATGATTAAAAGGCATATCTAAGGTCAAATTTAAAGTGGTGTCCACTCACTTTTAAGATCAAAACTTTGTTAAAAATTATTCTCCACCAAAACTTTATTAATATGAAACATTAGCATGATTAAAATAAATTATGGGTGAATGAGAATTGATCTTAAAGAACTATTGGTAGACATGTTTTTATAAAACCAAAAACCCTTTATCCTATATAGAAAAGAAAAGAGAATCTTTTTTTTTTCAGTTTATATAGTGGGAAGTTGTAAAACCTCTAGGTGAAAAAATTATAAATTGACTAGTTTCATGTAAAACAAAACAATTTTTTTTTTAACTTTAGATTGAGTTATCAGAAAATTCTGAACATTTACATGGAGTGTTCATGTAAAACAATTTTTTTTTTTTAACTTTAGATCGGGTTATCAAAAAATTCTGAACATTTACATGGAGTGTTCTCATATGATTCCTTAGCTTGGGTTAAAATTTTAGAATTTTTAGATAAATTCAGAAATTTGATGAAAAATCATAATTTGACTAGTTTTATGTTATTAGATGTAATTTTAAATTCGACCATCAGATTAAGCAGAAATTTTATGAGGAACTTTAAAATATATTTAAGAAAAATTGGTTAAAATTTTAGGATGAACGAAGCTTGGTAGTGCTAACAAAGAATAAGGACCATCAAATAGAAGCAAAAAGACTCATTTAGGGTAAAATGGTAATTTGGCATTACAAATAAAACAAGGCACCCATTTTTTGTTATGAACTGCCAACTGGGCAGTAACAAATGTTAAAAGAAAAAAAAATAAAAGAAGAACGTAAAAAATTAAGGGAAAAACAAGAAAAAGTGAGAGAGAGTTTTGAAACTTGTAAGATTGAAAGACTTGGAATATTAAATTAAGGAAGAATAAAGTGAAGGAAGATATAAGAAAAGTGCGAAGGGCTGGCCATACTAGGAGGAGAAGAAAAGTTGGGAGAACTTAGATTGGTAAGCATGAAATGTTTAGATTCTTACTTGAATAAACTATTTTTGGGTTTATTTGAGTAAGTTATCAAACAATGACAATTAAATTTGATTTAATTTCTCATAATCTTGATTTGTTTTTAAATTATGGTGTTTACAAGAATTTGGGGATTTTGAGAAAAATAGTAAACATGATAGAATTGAGTTAGAATAGTATAGAAATAGTGAATGTAAGTAGTAATTAAGAAAGAAATTGAATAATTTTGAAGAAAAGAACTTGTAATTAAGGATGAGGGAAAATAGGAATGAGGTTTTGATTGTTTTATGTTTGAAAAATGATATTCTTTATCTTATTTGAAGTATTCAAAATATGAATAAGTGAAGAAACATCATAAGAATGTAAAAAGATGGAATAAATTAATGGTAGGAAAAGTTCATGGGAGAATTTTTTAAGTGAGTGAAAAGAAGAAAATTGATTAAAACTATATGTTGAAAATGAGGTGATAAATGAATGAAAATTTTGGTGTAAACCCCAATTAAATAAAAGATATTACATGCTTCAAATTTAGACATATAGAAGAAATGATAATGGATTAATAATGTAGTGCAATATGATTGATTCAGGAGTTGTACCTGGAGCAGGGCATTAGACAAGAGGAGTTGGGCCATCACGAGCAGACGATAGATGATTCATCACTTTCTGTTAAAATTCAAAGTTTCATTGTTAGTTATGAGTTGTTTATGATATGTTGATATGAAAGAAGTAGTAGAAGAAACTGTTGGTATTATAATTGGGATGTCGGGTAGTTAGTATGAAATTATTGGTTAGTATGAATTACTGGTTGGTATGGAATTACCGATTGATTAGTATGAATTACCGGTTAGTATAGAATCACTAATTAGTATGGAATTACCGATTAGTTAGGATGAATTACCATTTGGTATGGAATTACCAGTTATTGATAGGGAATAGCCGGACGTTGGGTAATTCGTATGGAATTACCGTTGAAAATGAGGTGATAAATGAATGAAAATTTTGGTGTAAACCCCAATTAAATAAAAGATATTACATGCTTCAAATTTAGACATATAGAAGAAATGATAATGGATTAATAATGTAGTGCAATATGATTGATTCAGGAGTTGTACCTGGAGCAGGGCATTAGACAAGAGGAGCTGGGCCATCACGAGCAGATGATAGATGATTCATCACTTTCTGTTAAAATTCAAAGTTTCATTGTTAGTTATGAGTTGTTTATGATATGTTGATATGAAAGAAGTAGTAGAAGAAACTGTTGGTATTGTAATTGGGATGTCGGGTAGTTAGTATGAAATTATTGGTTAGTATGAATTACCAGTTCGTATAGAATCACTAATTAGTATGGAATTACCAATTAGTTAGGATGAATTACCATTTGGTATAGAATTACCAGTTATTGATAGAGAATAGCCGGACGTTGGGTAATTCGTATGAAATTACCGGTTATATTGGTTATTAATAGAGAATGGCTGGTTGTTGGGTAATTCGTATGGAATTACTTGTTATATTGGCTATTGATAAAGAATGGCCAAATGTTGGGTAATTTGTATGGAATTACTGGTTTAATTGTTGGTTATTTAAGAGGGTTAGCCGAGTTTGAGGTAAAATTATGAATTACCAAATTAAAAATTAAGCAATAAGTGTTGGTTATAGAGGTCCTATAAGTATAGGATTAATAAATTATGAATGAGTTATTAATGTTGATATATAATAAGTTAGTGATGAAAGATAATTTAATATATTTTGAAGAATTGTGTTTTATTCATGTTTAATGTGTTATCTTCCTTATTTCTTATTAATATTATGTATATAGGTTTTTCACGAGGTGATGCGAAGCGTTAAATATAGGCTTTGTGTTTTAATCTGTTTATTTTGTAGGATGTAATATATTTGCTTTATATGTAATTTGTATTATATGTAGATTGTAATATATGTATCATGAAGATGATTGCTTTTGGTACTTATACATTTAAAATGTATGAGTAAGGAACTAATATTATTAAATTATTCAAAAAGATTATTTAGTAATTATAATCATGCATGTTTAAAAGATGGATGCATGTTAATGTAATAATTAGTTCAATATGAATTTTTTGAGTTTATAATTATTTGTAGTTAATGTGTTATTTGTTGATGATGTAAGGTTGAGAAAATACAATAAAGTATAGTTATGTAAAATATTATATGATGACATGGGATATGATTCAGGATGGTTGGATCAAAATAGAAGTTTTAAGTATTGTGATTGAATAAAGTCTAGTAGATAACTTGGTAACATCAGAAAACAAAAAAAACTCTGCCGAAATTTCAAAAAAAAATCTCATAATCTTAGACATACAATTCAATACTTGACATTAGTAAAGAAATGTTTGAAATTTCATAATATTATAATTTGAGGGTGTTATAGAAATTAAGGAGTCATAAATGAGTCTTAGAAAAGTAGTATGAGTTTAACCCAAACATGCGTTATTAGATTAGCTAAGCTTTGGCTTGAGCTCCTTAATCCAAGTTTCTGGTTTTTAATCTTGATTTTAGATTCATTTTTTTATAATATATTTTGATCTTAAATTTAAGTTTATTATAAAATAACTCTTTAACTAATAAATAATTATTTTTTGCTAACCTATTGCTTTGTCTAATTCAGCTCATGAATCTGATCAATTTTCTTCCATAAGAGTTTTTTTTAAATCATATTAGTTTTTTGAACTCAAAAGCATCCAAAACATTTAGGTTTAATTTTGGTTTTACCTTAGGAGTGGTAACGGATTCGCTTTGAAGTTCTCGATACTAGGTTTGCTGGAAAGCACTTTATCATTATTAATTCTTTATCGATTTTAATTCTAAAATTCATTATAAAAAAGGGGTGAAAGATTTTAATTCTAAAATTCATTATAAAAGTTATTTCATTGTTTATCCCGATTTTATATATTCTTCCCCACCTCAGTTTTTAAAGTTTTCTACGCCCTTTCAAACACCCACACCCCACCCCCCCCAAAACAGAACAAAAGAAACAAAACATTAAGATCTTATCAGGGATAAAGCTCAATGACAGCTCTTGTGCCTGGCACAGTATGTATCTTGTAGTTGAGGAAACCAGAATCAAAGAAGAGCTTGGCCCACTCCTTTTCATTTCTCTCCATGCCACTAACAGCCACCATCATTGCTAGATCAAAAACCAACTGCGTTTCAATTGACCTCTCGTCTCCATTCTGGTTCTCTCTCACCATATCTATAATTATCACCTTCCCAGCTTTCTGATGTCCCTCACTCATAATTGCTTGTTTGCATCGTTTAAGTATTTTCACGCAGTCTTCATCACTCCAGTCATGCAGTATACACTGTTTGTCAAATTTGCCATAAGATACATAGAATGAATAAATGAAGACGGGAAAAAATCATAAAGGAAATAGAAAACATAAGATGCATATATATAAAAACTTCCTAGTATAGATTTTTGGGTTAGAGATGATGTCCATCTTTGAATATAAATCTTCATATGCATCTGTACGCAGAGGTCAGGAATGGAATAGTTTATATATGTGTCAAAATATAAGCTCAAGGATGGACGTGTGTATATAAGCAGCACCTCTCAAAAAAAAACTAATAAAAGATGTTCATATATATATATATGCAAATTATATATAGTGATGGTAGAAGAATACTGTTGACATTAATTTACCTTGAGCAAAATTGCTTCTGCTGGAGGAACTGCCTGAAACATATCCCCCGCTACATACTTCAAATTTTTGCAGCCTTGCAAGTCAGAAACCACATGGGGGAGATCAAACACAGTGCAGTCCATGTGGGGAAATGCTTCAGCAATGCCCTTGGCCATAGTTCCTAAGCCTCCCCCGACATCCACCAAGGAATTCACCCCATCAAAGATGCCTTTACATTTGCTTACAACCAACTTGCTAGCCAGTATGCTCTCACTAGCCATGGTTTCATTAAAGAGATTGTTGAGTCTGGGATCTTGGCCAGCGTACTCCCAAAATGTCTTTTCATGGGCAACACTAAATGCGGTGGCTTCATCATTTTGGAACCAGGTGCTCATATGCTAGTGCATGTTGTGATACCTCAAAATACTGTTATCTCGTCATATTTTTACTAGTGAAACTTGCTGTAACCTAGGAGGAGGCTTAATTTCTCAACTGTACTATCCTATAAAAATATTGAAGCATAAATTCTTAAATAACAATTGGTCCTATTTAATAATATGAATAACAAAGAAAACTCTTGAAAATCTTTAATCATACTTTTATTATGCTAGTTGATCCAAGATTTAAAAAATATTAATAATTGTTAATTAATCTTTTCTATATAGCCCAAAACAATCAAAAGACTTTTACTAAAAAGAAGAAAAACCATAACGAAAAACAATAATAAAAAGTCAATTAATTAACAACTATATAAATCTAATCACAAGATATAGATTTATAAATAAAGATAAAAAAAATGTAAGAATGAAGGGCAATATAATCATAAGAGTCTTTGTAACATGTTTTTTTTATTAAAGGAAAAATAGTCAAAATAGTCAATTCACTTCATTTCCACATGTATTTCAAACAGTATAATTTAATTCAATTCTATAGATTAATATTTTATTACAAACATGAGAATTGTAATAAGTTGTCAATTTAATTCAAATCACGTATGGAATTAAATTCAATTCTATATGTGATTTGGTTTCAAATAGGTTATTAGAGTTTTGTTAATAATAAGAATTTGACTTAAAACACATAAAAGTCTTAGATCTAGTTGAGAATAATTAAGAGGCTTAACCTATTAGTTAGCCAACCTTTTTATTTATATGTGAGGGCAATATACAATAATAATGGTGGAAATTACAACACAAGAATATACCTATAATATTTCTTATATAGGTATATTCTATAATATGCTCCCTCAAGCTGAGGGTGGAGGATCGACCAGAAACTTAAATTGAAAAGCAGTAAACGGATAAGTAGGAAATGGCTTGGTAAAAACATCTGTAATTTAATCGTGAGAGGAGATAAAACGAATCTAAATCTCTTTCGATAAAACGAATCTGAATCTCTTTCTTCACAACCCTATCTCGTACAAAATGATAGTCAACCTTAACATGTTTAGTACAAACAAGAAAGATAGGATTTGTAGATAAATAAGTAGCGCCTAGATTACCACACCAAATAGTAGGAGCAGGGGCAAAAAGAATCTGCAGATCTCTCAATAGATACTAAAACCAAATAATCTCAGCAATGTCATCTACTAAGGCTTTATACTCAGCCTCGGTGGAGAAGCTAGCAACTATGCGTTACTTGCTTGATTTTCATGAAACTAGCGTCTGATTAAATAGACAAGATAACCACATATAGATTTGCTATCATCAATACTACCTACTCAATCTGCATTTGTAAAGCTATGTAAAGCAAAGAAGAAACTGCGAATGATATGTAAGTCATAGGTGATTGTACCTCGGAGATAATGTAGAATGCGTTTAACGACACCTTAATGAGAATCTATATGAGCATGTATAAACTGATAGACTCTATTAACAACAAAGCAAATATCTGATCTTATAAAGGTGAGATATTGAAGAGCACCCATAATTTGATGAAATCATATAGAATTGGAAAACAAGGGATCTAACAATATAGTGACTTTGAAAGTAGAGATAAGAGTATCAATCGATTTGCAAGAAGTCATATAAGCTTGAGTGAGGATGTTAAGAATATACTCATATTGTCATAACCTTTCATAACAGTGGACTAAACCTCAATGCCCAAAAAATAATAAACGGTGCATAAGTCACAAAGCTTAAACTCTTGAACTTGGTAACTACATTAAGCAATGAAGCATAGTAGAGTTGCTACCTGTAAGCAAAATGCCATCAACATAAACCAGAAGATAAAAGCCAATAATTTATAGGTTATGAGGCCTTTTTGAGGTGTTGTGCTGGTCTAGCACGATGAGACCTGCTCTTAACCTAGTAGTGATTCATTGGCTACCATAATGAAAATAGCCTCCGGAAACTACTGTACAAATTTGAGCACAATCCAATGATCAAATTAAAATTTAAAGCCATTTTGAGCCGTTACTCTAGTCTAGTGTGACCAGACCTCTGCTTCACCAAGTAGCGATTCCATACCACCACAAAGGAAAACATCCTCCAGAAACTCCTATAAACATTTGATACTGATTTAATGGTCGGATAAAAAATTAAGGCACTTTTGAGTTGTTATGCTCGTTTGGCACGACGAGACCTGCTTTTAACCTAGTAGCGATTCCATTGCTACAAAAAGTAAAACAGCCTCCATAAACTACTATAAAAATTCTATAAGGATGGTGGTTGAATTTGTGAGAATATAGAAGAGATGAGGTTGCTGTTTTTTTTTTTTTAAGAAAGAATAAGAATAAGATGGAGGGGAAGAGAGAACTATTAGGTTTTATTTCATTTAATTTCTCAAGTGGAATATTCATAAAAAATTCCATCAATAATTACTAACATATCATATTTTTTACAGAATTACCCATACAATTTTTATTATTTTCTTATTCTCTCTATTTCCATTAGAATTTTCATAGGTGGAAAGTTTGAATGCATTTACATCAACAATTATCGATGGAAAGTGTCTATATCTATTTATGATAGAAATCATCAATGAAATATTTTTCATCAGCATTTTCATTGCAATTTGTCAATTTTCTGGTATTATTTTATCAAAATTGTTTTAAAAGGTTTGTAAATGTTTATTCGATTATTAAAAAACTGAGAAAAAATATGTAGATTTTTAAACTATAGATTTTCTTTCATTAATTTCCCTAGATAAAACAAAATATAGATTGGGATTTCTTCATTATTTTTATTTTTGACATTTGAGAACAGAATTAAGAGGTTAAGATGGAAATGAGATTCAACTACTAATGACTTAATTTTTCTAAACATAACATTATACACATTTAAGAATAATATTATGAAAAAGGGATGTTAGACATGTTAGATCACTAGTATACTCTAATGTTATTAGTTCAAGAGTCAAAACACATGGATTTGTCGAAGCAAATTGTGAATGAATTTTAGTATTTACTAGTGATGATGTTCCCAAAATCCATTATACTCAGGGAATTAGAATCTTGAGTGTTTGGATAAAGGATAATCATATATTCAATTCCATACTTTCTCCTCCAAAGTTTAATAATTGATACTTAGTGATCAAAATCCTGACACCAGCAAAACATTCTCTTTTCATGTGATTTAGATATCCTTTAATGATAAAGTCATTGACTTTTTTTTTATAAGGGATTGCAATAAATAAATAAATGAGCTTTAAAGTTAAGAACATAAGTGTTTGTTTATATTTATATATAATAAATGCTTTAAGAATAAAAATATGAATACTTTAAAGAATATAAAAAATATGAACTTTTTACCTTGATTCAGTGGATATTTATAGCCTCTTAACTCTCTTTTTTATTTTGCTAAAGGGGTAGATAGTTATTTCCTCTTAAAAACATAGATGGGAAGAAACATCCCTTACACAACATTAATATTGATAAAAATACAGATGATTCATAGGAGATTTTATACATTATTATGTACGCGGCATTAATGTTGGTGAAAATAGCCCTTAATCAACATTAATAATGATTGGAATAAGACAGGTTTTTAGAAGACTTTTATATTCCTAAGAGTATAAAGAATTCACTATTCTAGATTCTTAATATTTTATGTTAAAGACTATAACATAGCCTTATGACTTGGTATGACACCTATAAAAACTTTCAATTCCTGATGTATTTGAAACCTGGACTAATTCCAAACCCAAGGATGTTAGGTCGAGTATCTTGTCAAACTCATATGCATGTAAACTTAGCATGTAGCTAATTCCAAGGATATGGGGACTAGTGTCTTATCAGACCTATAGGCACTTGGGCTCAGCGTGCAACTGAGTCCAAGGGTGTTGGGTCTGGCATCATGCGAGACCCGCGGGCACTTGGGCTCATCGTGTATCTAAGTCCAAGAGTATTAGGTCTGGCATCTTTTTAGACCCACAAGCACTTAAGCTCAATACATATCTGATCCTAAAAATGTTGGATTTGATATATTGGCAGATTCTCATGCACTTAGGTTTACTATACTGTTAAAACCTAAGGGTGTTGGGTCTGATATCTTTCCAGACTCATATGCATTTGGGTGTACAACGTAGATGAGCCTAAGGGTATTGGGTATGACATCTCGTCGATCCATGTACATGTAGCTGAGTCCAAGGATATTGGGTCTGGCATCTTTCTATATCCAAGTGCACTTGAACTCAACGTGTAATTAAACCCAAGGACTTTGGGTTTGGAAGCAAGTCAGACCCATGCCATCTGGTCTTGGCATTCTATAAAGCCCAAGCATATTAGGTTAGTACCCTGTATTTGGTCCTTTTCATGATGGACTTCTTAAACAGAAGGATCGTGTATAGAATTTACTGATCCATCAACTAGATTATTAGGTTATGTTGCGCTACAAGTTAGATCCATTTTTTACCTAAAAAAGGTATCCAGCATTGATAATGTATTTTCTAATAAAAACAGTTTTAATCATAAACTCAAAATATAATGTATATTGAATGATATATTTTTTAAATATTGATACATTGACATTGGATGATATTTTTTTCAAATATTGAGACTGTAATATATTGGTTTAACCTGAGTTAATCTATCAAATCTATGACCTGGGTTATAAGACAATGATAACTCTATAAAAATCTGGGTTATGATTAGTACTTAAAAGTACATTTTTCTAATCAAACAAATGCTGAAGGATGAAATTAAAAAATATTAAATTAAAAGAAGAAAAAAATAGTTACTCAATTCAATTCAAGTTAACTTGCTAAACTCGTGGCGCAGGTCATAAGATCAGGATAATCTCATGAAAAGAAACTAAAAAAAAAAGTATGAAGCCCAATTTCTAATCAACCAAATATTGAAGAATGAAATCGAAAAACAAAATCAATTACAAAACAGACACAAAAGAACAATTCAAGCTAACTTATTAAACCTGTGACTTGGATGATAAAATTGAGA